GGGAGCCCGGCTGGCCGGGGATGCCATCCTGGCCAGGTTTGCCAACGCCAGGCAGGCCGGGAGGGCCTTGGATCCCGGGGACCCCTGGGGGCCCCTGCAGCCCCAGCTCTCCTGGGGGTCCGGGTTTGCCCAGGGGGCCCTGCGGGCCGGGGAAGCCGACCATGCCCGGCTTACCGACCCCCGGCAGCCCCACGGGGCCGGGGGGGCCAGGCAGCCCGGGTGGACCTTTCAGCCCCGGCAAACCCGGGATCCCGATGCCCTTCTCCCCTTTTGGTCCTGGGATCCCAGGGGCTCCCGGGGGCCCCTTCATCCCGGGCTCGCCCTTCGGCCCCGGCTGTCCCTGCAGCCCCGGAGCACCCGCCTTCCCTATGCCGGGAAGCCCGTGGGGCCCTGGCGGTCCTTGTGGCCCGGGTATCCCCATGGGCCCGACCTCCCCCTTTGGCCCCATCTCCCCTCTCGGCCCTGGGGGCCCCATGGCCCCCGGTTTCCCCGGCATCCCCGGCAAACCTGGCTTCCCAATTCCTGGATACCCTTGCGGGCCTGGTTTTCCTTTGGCTCCTGGCACACCGTGACCCGGTAATCCTGGTGGCCCCGGTGGCCCTCTTGGTCCAGGCTCACCGGGGGGACCTTGCTCGCCCCTCAGACTGCGTATGGGTATTTCTGGGTCAGGGAGAAAAGAAAAAGAAAAAAAGAAAAGGGGAGGGGGAGAGACAAAAGGTGATTGCAATCGCATCCTTCGAGGAACACGAAGGCAGTTTTGAATTGAATGTGCTTGTTTTGATGCCTCTCGGTTTTGTGGTAGTCGGGGAGGCAGAGCTGGCCAGTGAGTTACAGGTCGGTGTTTGGAACAAAGAGGATGTTCCTACTGTTTTGCATACCCAAACTTGCGTGCATGTCTCTGTTCCCATAAAATAATTATTTTGCATCATATTTGCTGATTTTTTGCCACGCAAAAGCCATTGCACTTTACTGGTGTTTTCCACCTATACAATCTTAAGCAGCGAAATCTGCTTTTGTCCCATATTGCTGTAGACTAACCTACTTTTAAGAGTTTTTGCAGGACACAGAAGCTGCTCGGTGCTCCCGTGCTGTAGGAGGAGATCTGGCATAAAAGTGCTTTTGCTGGAGGGGCTTACACTAGCAAGATCAATTAAAAAAGATTGTATCAGTAAGAAGTTTGTACGTAGGTATGACTGCATTTTCACCAAGGCTTTGGTTCCCATTAAGATATGACTGGAAACCTACAGCCTTACGCAGCATTGCTAAGCTCCCACAGGTTTTTGGCGTAGCCGCGTCTATTTAGAGCTCTTCTAAACACTTCACAAAATGCTTTTATTGTCCAAACCCACATTTTTGTCTATGTGACCACTTAGCATTGCAGGTCAGGGGGAGGGAGTTGCCGCGTGGGAGTGGTTGTGCTGGGGTTGGTTGCTTTTCAAGCTGCAGGCTTTTTCTGTTAAGTGGAAAGTCTACTTCTCTCCGGCTCTGAAATGGATAAAGACACGAGAGGTTTTGGGGAAGGGGACAGATAAGGTTTCAGGGCAACAGAATTAACTGTTCTTTGGGAGGCAGAAACCCTCCCTCTCAGCACATGTTGTGTTTTATGCACATAGAAAACCTCATTTGCTCACAAGATGGTTTGGTTTTACAATAGCCAGTCCTACTTTTAAGAGTTTTTGCAGGACACAGAAGCTGCTCGGTGCTCCCGTGCTGTAGGAGGAGATCTGGCATAAAAGTGCTTTTGCTGGAGGGGCTTACACTAGCAAGATCAATTAAAAAAGATTGTATCAGTAAGAAGTTTGTACGTAGGTATGACTGCATTTTCACCAAGGCTTTGGTTCCCATTAAGATATGACTGGAAACCTACAGCCTTACGCAGCATTGCTAAGCTCCCACAGGTTTTTGGCGTAGCCGCGTCTATTTAGAGCTCTTCTAAACACTTCACAAAATGCTTTTATTGTCCAAACCCACATTTTTGTCTATGTGACCACTTAGCACTGCAGGTCAGGGGGAGGGAGTTGCTGCGTGGGAGTGGTTGTGCTGGGGTTGGTTGCTTTTCAAGCTGCAGGCTTTTTCTGTTAAGTGGAAAGTCTACTTCTCTCCGGCTCTGAAATGGATAAAGACACGAGAGGTTTTGGGGAAGGGGACAGATAAGGTTTCAGGGCAACAGAATTAACTGTTCTTTGGGAGGCAGTTAATTCCCTCTCAGCACGTTGTGTTTTATGCACATAGAAAACCTCATTTGCTCACAAGATGGGTTGGTTTTACTATAGCCAGTCGTGCTTGTTCAGACACTCCAAAAATAGGCCCTGAAATCTTCAATTTCCCTCTGAAGCCGGCGGAGGCTGTGGTTACGCTGAACCCTCAATAAGACGAAGAGTTAACCAGCTTGTCTGAAGTCGCATGGACGCTCACTGTCCCCACAAGGATTTTATGACACTGGGTGTTCCTGGTTGCCCTTTGTATTTTGGACATTTTTTGTTGTTTTCTTAAATATCCTAATATTGTCCAAACTTCCTTTACTGAATACTGAAAGTGCTTGTACATGCAGACTCGTGCAGTAATGCCCTGTACCTTCAATGCCTCTGTTACTCCCATAAATAACCTACAGAAAGAGGACTGCAGAGTCAGAAGAGCAATTGTATGTTTTTATCTGCAAACCTCTAAATCACAGGGTCTGGACAAATCCAGACAAAACTGTGATATTCCCGTAAACTCAAATCTTGGGACTCTTAGCTCTTATTTCATGTCCAGCTGCTGCAGTGAGAGTGGGAGCACCTCCAGGCAGGACCCCGGCCCGTCTACCTGGGCCACCATTTGAAACCCCCTCAGAGGTTCTTCTGCAGGCGGGTGGGATTACAAGGTTTCTCCTAGCCTCGAGCAAGCACCCAAACAAACCTGGGGCCAGCCCTGGGTGCTGGAGGCTCGTCACAGGTACGGCTGCTCAGAGGCTGTGCTGCAGCCCGGAGGATGACTGTGGCCTTGCTCTGGTGCCCTGAGCTGCCCCACAGCTCATGTGAGCCCATTTTGTCCATCCGTGGCCAGGTACCAACCTGGCCAGCCCTCGGAGCACCTGAGTGCCGTGCCCAGCCTGCAGCAGCCTGCTCGCCATCCTCAGTTACCCCGGGGCAGAGGGTGCTGTGGGGCACCAGGCAGGACTGTGCAGGGATGGCAAGGGATGCGCCAAACCTACCTTTCTCTTTCTTGGGAGCCATGTCCTTGCCGAGCAGAGGCATCTGCGGGACCTCCTTCATGTACTGAGGCAGATGGGGGTACTCTTTCCCATACTGCATATGGGGCACCTCCTTGCCCATGTGCTGCATCGCGATGCCTTCTTTGCCCAGTGGCATGTGAGGTACTTGTTGTCCAAGGGGTTGGTACTGGGGCACCTGGTGTGGCAGCTGCTTGATCCCATAGTAGACGCCGCCTTGAGCAGACCTCACCAGCTCTAGGTAAATGGTGACAGCCACTGCCAGCAGCTGCACAGGGAAGAGCAGCACGGCCATCACCTGCGAAAAACACAACAAAATCCACAGTTGGCAGAAAATGTTTTTTCGTGTCGTACGTTTCCCATTGAGGCCAACCTGCTCTCATTGTCTGCAGCAAACTGGACCTAAACCTCTGCAACTGGCTCTGGTTTGTGTGTTGCCCTGGAGGACATCCTGCAGCAGGCCTGTATCTGGTTTATTGGAGGCTCTTGCTCAAATAGTACTATTATAACAAATATCCTTATATGCATTTAGTTTTATACTGCCCCACACACCCCGGGCGGTGCCCTCTGCGGTTTCTCCATAGGGGGACCTGCTCCCTCCCATCCCCAAGCTGCAATTTGCTGCTTTCTCGCTTGTGTCAGTGCCACGACACAAGGTTTGGGGAGCTCTGCTGCAAGCTCCGGCACAGGGAGAGCAGGCAGGGGCATGTGGGGATCTCTGAAACGCTTTCTGCCCAAGGAAGCTAAATTACCAACGCCCCTTCTGCTATGCTTTCCTTAGCAATGAAAGCCTAGTTTCTGCAGCTTAAATCTGTGCCTAGGATTGTGCCCCGTGGCTGCAGTGTCCAGGGGCTCTCTACTCCTATCGCAGCTCCTTGCCAGCTCTCCTCCTGAGCCGGGCTTCGATCCTCTCAGCCTTCACCCAGAAGAACAGGGCCATCTAGGGGCTGTCCGGGCCATCACTGCCCTCGGGCAGGATCACACAACCCGAACTATTTTCTCCAGGCCTCCCCTGCTGCAGACCCTGTCCCCTCCCCAGGCAGCCCATCCCATCGCCTCACCGGCCCTGCTAACACAACAGAACAGGGCTGGTTTTTCTTTCTTCCTTATCAAAATATAAGCTTGGGACCTCTTGTCCCATCTGCTGTTGGCTTTCCTTTCTGCAGTAGCGGTGTTACTAACAGGTGAGCAGCGAATCAGCAAGCAGGAACTCCCTAAATGAGTGCAAATTTGGGGGCAGCCTGAGGTAACGAGGACTCTGTGTGTTACAATTCGAGTATTTTGCAGTTTGTCCCGCTACCAAGCCCGGTAGGCATGTCCCGCTCTTTTGAAATGCACGTGGCAATTGCCAGGCTTGATGCTGTCCCCAAATCCCTGCTTTTCCACAGTGCAAAGACTCCGTGCACCTAACCTGAGCTGCTGGAAAAGCCCCCGCCACGCAGGCACACCAGCAGAGCTTTGCCAAACTGCTCGTCGGAACTCGCTCGCAGCGGCTGCTGGGCCCCGCTAAGCCCAGGTGTGACGAGGGTGGCCTGAGGAGGCAGCGGGGGCTTTGTGCCACCTGCTTATTTTCCTGTCCTTCTCCCACAGCCTGGCTTGGCAGAGGATGAAAAAGCCCCTTCACCTGTGGCAAAGCGGCTCAGCACCAAGCCCCCTTCACCTGGTTCCTTGTGCCTTGAGAGGCATCTTCTGGACGGCGAAGCTTTTCCCTTTTCCTGGGAAAAAAAGCTGGGGCTGGGGCTGGTCCCCACTTGAATCCAGCTGCTCGCGGGGCTGCAGCCCCGGCTCCCCTGCGCAAGGTGATGCTGCAGCATGCGGGAGTACCCCCCGGCCCTCGCTTGAGGGGCAGCATGACATGGGCCAGGACGTGTCCTCCCAGGGGCCGTAAGGAGATGTGGCTTTGGGCAGGTAAGGCTGCTGCTGCGGAGAGCTGGGGGGAAGTGTGAGAGGGAGGTGGGGTTGGGGAGAGGAAATGTATTTACAGAGGAGGGGGCAGTAAACAGCTCCGCTTGCCTCCTCTAACACTGCGCTGTGTACAGCGGGCCTCTAAAAAGGGCCCCAAAGTAATTGGGGAGGGTGGGACTTTGCATCGCATCTATGAGGGACTCGTGCCTGGTGGGCAGAGGGTGTGAGCGGGCTGCAGGGCAGCTGCAAGACTTGCCGAGCTTAGGGAGTGGGTCAGTGGCACTGCAGGCGTTGAGCCCTGCAGTCGTGACTTGCGTTTTCCCCGCTCGCCACTGTACGGCTCGGCTCGAGCGCTGGGAGGGCTGGAAAACGGCTTCTCTCACTGCTCTGTGCTGTGGTGGAGGTTATTGATCAGGTGGTAACACTGGGTGTCATTTAGTTTTTATGTTTTACTCCTGCTCAAAGTTCTCTGTTCACTTTGCATTAGCAAAGCACCTGGAGAAATGCTCACCACTCTTTTAAAACATTTCTCCTTCATTTTGCTCTATAAGATCTAATCTCTCAATGGAAATTAGTGTATCATCATTACTGAAGGTGTAAGTGGATGCTAAATCAAAATTGTGTAGTTAAAACAACCAGCAGAAGGTTAATATTTTCAGTAATGTTCCTAAATAGACAAATGAACTACAGTAAAGATGGAACTATGTGTTAACAGCAAAATAAACCATTTCAGAAAATGAAATATTAGTGAATAAACACTAGATGGAGCATATGTTGCACAGCTGAGTTTCTACAGTCACTTGCTCTCCCAGGAATTTAAGATCTTGGATGTAACCAGCTGCCATGTGGCAAAGAAAACCGGAGCCAAGATGTACAGGAGTTAGTAAGCGTAGCTAAAGCCCAAGTGCAGTCGCTCATCCTTGTTCAGCAAAGCATCTCAGCAAACACTTCATCTCCAGCGAGTTTAATGTGGCTTTTAGCCCACGGCTGGCTGCTTTGCTGTGAGCTAAAGGATTAAGGCCTTAGGACACGGTATTTCTGCTTAAAGCTCAATGGCGCTGGACTGTGAGGACAGCCCGTGCTTGATCAGTTACCGGGGCTCAGCTGGGATGGGGTAACTTATTAACCTGCTGCAGCTTCATCTGGGCACATGGACCCCGAGTGACCTTTTTTTTAAGGGGTGGGGGGGTGTTATCCCCACTCTGGTCTCTGTTGGCCTTTCTGTTCCTTTCTGTACCATAACGAGTAACTGGCTGCAGCTTTGCCTCTCTGCAGCTGCATAGGGTAACACCTGCCTCAGTTTGCCGGGAAAATCCCAGCTACTGGAAAATTTGCAGCATTCTGTGCTTCTCTCCCAAATGAAAAGCATTGCCTGTATGAAGAGAGAAATGCAGTGAAACCTCTTAAAAAAAATATTAGAAGACATTGGATGATTTAGGCTTGCTGTAATCCCAGCTACTGGAAAATTTGCAGCATTCTGTGCTTCTCTCCCAAATGAAAAGCATTGCCTGTATGAAGAGAGAAATGCAGTGAAACCTCTTAAAAAAAAATATTAGAAGACATTGGATGATTTAGGACTGTTGTTGAAACCTACAAGTATGAAGGGCAGGGTGGATTTTGAAGAATGAGGTTATTAAATTAGCTTCTTGGCTACTTTGTTGTTCTGGTGGCCAGTTTTTGGGGGTTTGTTTTTTTTAAAAAGATAACTTCAGTGGAATAAGTGGAGAGGGAAATAGGCAAAATTCCTTTTGATGTGATTTTTCTCCTTGTTTTTATTACAAAACATGGGCTTTGTGTGTGAGTGGGAGCTATTTGAAATAATTGAAAAAATTTTCCTATGGGGAGACACCAGCCTGCCCGCAGCTCAGGCTGAACTTAACCTCCCACTGCTTGTGCCGAGCTCCCTCGGCCCTGCCGAGCGTCACGCAACGCACCTGCGGTTTAACAGGCATGACCATGCAGCACACGAGATATTTTTGTGTGTGCGTGTGGAAATTTTGAGGGAGATCAGGCAAGACTTCTAGAGATAGGAAGGCTCCAGAAAATGAGGTGATCTCACTACATCTGTGTTCCCTTTAGTGTTTTTTGACTCATCATAACCAAAACAGTGTGGCTTGGAAATGACAAATTGCTTCTCATCTATTGATCTTGGCTGGGGCTGGTGCCTGTGACTAGCTGAGGTGGAAGGTGGGGGTTTATTTACCGAACAACCTCGGGCTGGATAGGACTTGGCCGACATCTTTGTGGAGGAGGTCAGAGCCTCCCCGGTGGCCTTACGTGAGCTGTCTAGGTCTTGGGATCTGCCGCAGGTACCTGGGAAGCAGCCCGTGTTCGGTGCCGGCTGTACGGCTCGTCTCTCCCCCTGCTCCCAAAGGAAGGAGGGATCAGACAAAATTAGTCTTCATGAGAAATATGGTAGTCTTCTGTGTGCGACTGCTACTGCTCACTGCCTCCTGGCAGTGGGTCCAGCTGGGTTATCGCTATCGGATACCATCACGATAAAGCAAGCCTGCCCTGAAGCATGAAGCATGCCTGGGATAGTCCTTCAGTGTTGCAGCTCATTGCCTGTCTCATCCTACTCAGCTTCTCTAAAAAGTTATTTAGGTACTGAGAGAGAGAAGTGGAAGGTCTTTTTTTTCTGCCCTGCAGTTTGTTTCTGAATGCTTGGGTGCACAGCTCTCATCTTTTTCAGACCTCGCTAGGAAACCACCAGCATCTTTAAATGCCTAAAAGCTACTGAAAATCTTGCTCTTGGTTTTTAAAAGAAGCGTATAGATCCTAAATGTTGGACAGGTCCTCCAGAGCTTATGAACAGCAAAAGGAGATTTTCCCAGCGGTGACAGGAGTTAAAGAAAATACCAGAGTGAGGAGGAGAAAAATCTGTGCTGAAGATGCAGCCAAAGTGTAAGACTTCCCACACCCTTCACCCAAATCCCAGCAATTTAGGGATCATCTCCAGACACATTCATGTAATGCAATCCGATGTGCTTTCAAAGGCGTCCGTCAGCGGAGCAATAAGCTGACTGGAATGGGATTTTCCTGGGTTTCTGTCAGAAGGCAATGGGAACGTGTCTACGTATTTATGGCAGGTAAATCAGTGCATGCGTGCACCTTTAGAGAAGCCAAAGGCTTGGAGAAAGCAAAGTTTTACCTTAACTGTTTGAATGTCTGAAGGAAGACAGAGGAGAAGCAACAGTGCCTTCATAGTGTGTGATGCGTCATTTTGCACCAGTCGTTCAGATTAAGACACAGCAAACGTTTTGCTTTACTTAGGGTGGGGCAAGCCACTCGAGGGCGAAGGAACATTATCCTAAACCACACCGTTCAGCTGCTTGTGTGTGAACATGCGTGGTTGGCTCTGTGGGTGAGAGAGAGTCCCTGAAAAAACACATT